TCTTTGCCATTCATGCGGTTCAGGCCACCGAAAGTTACATATGTCGCTCACTTGTAGTTGTACAGCAGAAATCCTTCTACGATGAGTATGTGCACTTGGCTCTCCGGATCGTCCATTTCCGTGGCTGGGGTCACTTGCACACCATGGGAACGGGCGAATTTGACTGGGTTTTCAATCCAACCCTTGACAGTGTTCACCGTGGCCTCCATATCCAAAGCTGCGATCACTACAAAAGCAGAACAAACGATTTTAGCGGAAGATTGAAAATGGATGTCGAAATTTAATTTCAGTTATAGTAGGGTGACCATACGTGCCATTTTCCCAGGACGCGTCTTGGCAAGGATTTCTAGATTGCCTAAAATATCTAGGTTTTGGCTTTGTTTGCGTGTGCAGACCGACATCAAAATACCATACAGACGGATCGTACCCTGATCGGTCTGCACACGCAAACAAAGCCAAAACCTAGATATTTTAGGCAATATAGAAATCCTGGCCAGGACGCGTACTGGGAAAATGCCACGTATGGTCACCCTAGTTATAGCAAAGCCACACAGAGAGAATGTAAATGGGTTGGGAGGGATTGTAAAATCTTTGTTATGGGAGGGCGATGCGTAGAATGAGGAGTTATTGCTCTCCTACTGTTTATAGTCTTACCATCCCACTGTTTAAAGCCATCCTCTCCGACTGCTATCTGATCCGGCGGCTGAAATAACAGTGACCAGTAAAACACTGCAGCAAATGCCTTCTATCTGCGGTCAAGTATAGTTGAGCCAGACTGCTGATCTAGAATCAGGTCTTAGCCATCATAACCTGATGAATACAACTCGACAGATGGGAGGAAACTGATCTTGGATCAGCACTTTTGAGTTCTTATCACAGACTTGTACAAGGAGCCAAATGAAAGTTTTATCAAATAAAATAGAGAAAAAGCAAACGTAGAGTCATTATCTTAAAGTTACTTCTTATTGAATCCATGCATCCAGTACTACAACAAAAAGCTACAATTAAAATACATAAATAAAAATCCTAATCTTTTGTTGAATTACTAAATTTAAACAAAGTAGGGGTTGAAATTATAGCTAACGTTTTGTTTATTGAAAGGAATCATGCTATTTGTAAAGCCAACACCAAAATAACTAGAAATATCAAATACAAATACTACATTTAGTTGAACTCACCTTGAAGAAGTCATCCTGGTGAACCACACAGCAGTTTGGTAAGGCTTTTATTAACCTGTCCGTCAAGGTGGTTTTACCACCATTAGTCACACTAAAAAATAAAAAAAGGTAGGTTAAAATGATCAAACAGAGTTGAAACGACTCAAAAAGCAGAACTATTAAACGTATTTCCCGTGTAATCTTTGGTTTAATCGTGTATTTGAAAAGCTTATTCAAGTAAAAGTGGCGGGATGGTCCTCAGTTCCTCAGCTGGCTTATGACAACAAACTGACCCAGGTTTAAATACGCTTCATAATAATCTACAATACAAATATAACGAACACAGCATCTTTAAAAGGTTTCTTTAATATTCCGTCCTTTGTATTAAAGCCATGGAAGCCAGACATTACAAATCACAAACAACATAGCACCTCCACAAGAAAATCTAAATAAAACAGCTGTTATTTTACTTCATACACAATACAAACATAAGATTTATAGATGACTAGACATGTTAAGGCGCGAATGTCCGTTAAAAACATTCAGAGGTTTCGGCGCGCTCACGGTTTTAAATCTCCCGCTCAAAACCTCGACGTGGTTTCAAAGCTCGCGATTCTTTTAAAATACTAATATAAATAAATAAGAATAATAAATCATTACATGTACAAAATATTATCTTCATTCAAATTTAAAAAAAAAAAAGCCACATGGCTCGATTGTAACTATTACAACTTTGTTCATAATATTACTGTAAAGAGCTACTTACCCCCCTATTCCAATGATGTACTTCATCGACCTGGTTGAGGTTTTACAATTTAGACGCCGCAAAATGCCTAAAATAAAAACGTACGATTAAAAACCTCCGCTTAAAGCTAAACTTGCACTCTTAACTCTAGTGCGTTGTGAGAACACAATTGCACGTGCGCATATAACCAACATTACACGTCACAGAAAAGGCGTGGCTTACGTGCTAGGCAGCCAATCGCGGCTCGCGCAGGGGAGAACATACTGTATTGAATCAGTCTATAAATTCCCACGAATTGCACGGAAGATAAAATAGTACAGATTAGTACAATTAGAACAAATAAGCAAAAACAGATATTAAATAATGTTGTAGTGAGCAGTGTTGGGGGTAACTCATTACAAGTAACGTGAGTTACGTAATCAGATTACTTTTTCAAGTAAAAGTAACGCATTACTTTTTAATTTTCAAGAGAATATCTGAGTTACTTTTTCAAATAAGTAAGGCAAGTTACTTTTTTTT